CTCGTTTAATAGCAAAAAACTGGTACAATTTTCTCTCAATAATAATAAATGTATTATTATTTTACAATAGTAAGTCCAGGGCGGAAATGGATAATTTATTATTATATGTATATTATATTAAACACAAAAATTACATATATTGCAATAACTACCTAATTGTATCATTTAATAAATATAACAAAAAAAAATGAAGGATTAATTTACAGAAAATTTAGATGTAATGGGAATCGATTGATCTTTTGTTTTACGAATCTTAATAAATAAAAAGAGATTAATGAAATGAAATTCAAGCAGCGGTGTGAATCATTTTATATATAATAAAAAATAAATAAATGAAAGAATACTTGATATCAAATCTTGTATAAAGTTACAAGTACATATTTCCATCAATAAATTATTAACATTATAAATTCTAAAAATGTAATAAATAACGACTAAAATTTGACTTTATTTTTAGAGGTCGCACACACTCGCAAAGGAAGATATCGCCTACGCTTGAGATATAAGTTACGTATTTTAATAAATTTTAGAATCGTGCATTAATAATGATAATTGAGGATCTCGCCGGTGTTCGCGGTAAAATGAGCGGACATTGTACACTATGCTTCACTTGACATGTAAAGCTTGTTATAAAACAAAGCGTATGTATACGCTGTTTCATATGTATAAAGTGAATTATAAATTAAATAATCACAAAATCAAAGTCTTCATTATATTTCATAACAGAATAAACAATGTTCTATCATCATAGACATAGGCGATATTATACTTTGCTACTAGATTTTCAAATCAAACAATCTCTAATTCTTTTGAAATTACATCACATTACAGTGTCGCTGTAGGGTCGCCACTCATAAGTTTTTATTAACATGGATCATGTTAAAAATTGATATGGCATACATTATTTATTATATATATTATTTCTGTAAATTTAACTAAATTATTTTTAGACGTGAAACTCAGCGACCGACATGTCTAGTACCAATCTGCCAACGTGCAGATGGAGACGCATACATATTATAATCTTGAATTTTATTGCCAAAAAAAATATTGCGAGGAACCACCAGAATTGCAGTAGCTAGTTCTTTCTGATAGCCTCTAAAGAGTCTGGCTTTAGACTTAATCTCTTGATTTTTTAAGCCATATTTATCTTTTTGACACACTAAATAAAAAAAGATATTTTTTGCCATTTTGATAAGTCATCTAGGCAATCCGCTTATCTCGTACTGACACTCAAAAGTGTTTTAAAATAATATCCGCTAAGGCGAAATTGAAATAATAATACACAAACTCGCACTAGACACGACCCGGTCATACCTTTTTAAGGCTGAAATGAGGCACTTTTTAATTAAAGGATATTTGGTAGTGCCGCCTATAGAATACCCACTGTTGCGAAAGGTACACTGGTGAAAACTATCTAAAATACAACTTTTATTGCGTGTATATTTAAAAAATTAAAGAAATGTATTTTCCGTGTTGACTAGACTATGGCCTAGATACAAGCGATAAAATCATGTAGAAGTTATTTATTACATGAATAGTGTGCGTGAAAATGTAAGAGACAAGCATTACAATTGCAGTGCTCACTTCCTACTGGCTGGTCGACAGTAGGAATACGATTGAGTCTTAATTCTGTCAGTTTTTAACACTCGGACGTTGACCGTGGGCTTGTTGAGGCGGCACTACCTTAATTATAAGTAACTTAACATCAGGCGATCTGGTGGATGATGTAGACCACGTTATATTTAAATAAAAACACATGAAATATGAACAAACATCAGGAAGGCACTATATTCACAGTCTTAAGCGAATACAATCAAAAACATTTCAAGCGGCAACCTAATACTATAACAAACATCTTATATATACGTACACAGATTATCGTCTGTTTTTGATTCATTAAATGAAATACAGAATGTGGATAGATTTTAATGGCATTATTGACTTTCGGCAAACTGTTTTGGAATATGATGCCTATACGATTAGGCGTTATGTAATAATAATTTGTAATAAATAATGACGTCAGATGTTGTGTGCATCAATATTGATTACAACACATTGTCATCGCAGAGATATATTTTTTTTTTTAATATTAAATACAAAGTATATATTTGTGTGATTCAACTATTCGAAGAAAAAAAAAACAGATCATGGCTAACAACATGATAATTTTTTTAACTATTTATTTGAATAATATTCAGCTCGTTATTATTATTTTTTTCCTAAAAATTTTAATAAATAAAACTGACTGAAGTCATTATTTCATTGTTTGGTGGCAACCCTAATTATTTTTTCAACGTAATCGAATGTCCGACGAAATATTCGTGTAAACTTTGGAACAAATCTTTGGTGTTTATATTAAAATACGCAACAGCACAGGAACAGCCGCTGCGGCCGACACACTACTCCTCGAGCGCTCATATTTTTTACAATAGACAACATTTCAATAAATAATTCAAAGACAAAAAAATATCAAATAGCCATGCTGAGGCAGGAACAATAATCGTTTCTTTTTTATTACTTATTTATATATAGACAAATGATCTCACAGCTGTGGTCGATGTATGTGAATTTTATAAAAACAGAAATTAAAATCAATTTTTTGTTTCAACATTTTATGGCGTACGCACGTCGGTCTACACTATGCTGTGTGCAAAGAAAACGAATTGTTGTCTATGATCGATGAGAACAAACATCTTGTAAGCTCAGTTCCGCGCTCTAGTATCTTTAAAACTCTATGTTACACGCGAGTGTCGTAAACAAATGTCGACATTAATTATATATACAGCGCGGTAAGCACACATTTGGCCGCTAGACAAAGAAAGTATGTCTTAATAGATTATAACAAAAATGGCAATAATACTCAACAATACTCGACTGGGGCCACAAGTTTGCGAGAGCGGATTTTTCTAAACACATTTTGCGTATAAGTTAAGTAACATAATTATTCAATACTACACGCGGCAGCGCATCAGTTTACTGGAAAAAGACGAATTCCTTCAAACAATTTTGAACTTAACCAACTACAGATCAAGGCTTCAAATGTAACGGAGAATATCCTTTTGCAGTAACCTGATACGCTGCCGGTTATACGTGACAATGTTAAGTACGTAAAAAGAGAACTTAATTACTAATTAGCAAACATAATACTGTATAATTAACGTTTATATAAATCAGTAATAGGAATCGATTTGACTGTCTATAAAATAATTAATAATATTAATACACGAAGTTCATGCCGATAGTCAAGTGGACATCACTAATACGGAATACGGCTCGAAGGATCAACCTTGTCCTGATCTCATTGAGCAGAAAATAATTGCCCGCTAGAATGGGATCGGTGCTTTGGAAATCTATTCATAGTTTCATACAAACGACATCAATTTAAAGTTGTTTTTTGAATATAAATTGTATAATATTTTCCCATTTAGTCTGATTGTACTCTTTGGCGATAAAATAGCTGATAAAACTATAAGAATACGATTATAATTAAATAAATTACACGTTCTACTAATGCAATATATCAAATTTCTCAGAAACACAAAAACAAGGCAACTAAACTAGTTTATAAATAAAAAAAATTAAACAGTGACTCTGAAACCGATTCCTACATGTGTATATTTTTATGTATAATAATATATAATTATTAAATACTAATATAATAATTATGTAAGTTATATATCTACAGAAGCTTACAACTATACAATTATGTATAATATACACTAAGGAGGCACTTGATGGATCAGTGGAGCGTTCCGTATATTTTAGTAAAACTATTAAAATACATATTCAGATACATGTCTTAAAAAGTCGTTCGGTTAATTTAAAAGTACTCAAACAAAACAGTACAGTTGATATTAGTACAATAATTTTAAGTGGCGGTTTTAACATACCCAAATAAAGCTAGAGCAGGGAGATGAGAGAAAAGATATCTCTAAGGATAAACTCAACTCTAATAGGTCTAATAGGTCTCAACGGTCACTAGCGCATTAGACAATCGAGAACTGGCAATGTTATTCAACTGGTTATGACTATGACCCTTAATACGTTCACAACAAAGTGTGGAATTGATTGCAGCGTTTGACAACGAAAATTTGCTCTAATATGGCCTTAAGTCCTAAGATAGTACGAGCTAAGCACTGGTAAAAAGAGAAGAGTTAGACTACGTTAGCGTGAGCTCTTGACCATTACATCTGGTCGTATATATGTATATTTAGGGTTGTTATGCATAATACAAGACCACGCGGGCAAATCCGCTGGCGGAAAGCTAGTAATATAATGTATTCAACAATGATTGTTATTAATCTTCCAAATATACGAAACACTCCACAAAGTGGACGATTCCACGTGTCAAAGAATATGTTCAAAGCAAAAAATATTGGAAATTATAATGTTGATTTGATTTGCGACTGCAATAGGTATGTAGTATGCGCCTTTAACGTATCATCCATTCAATTGTTTGTAAGCGAATTTTGTGATGGGAAATTATTGCAAAATTATGTTCATAAAAAAGGTAAAGTTTATCGCAAATCAAATCATAAGCATGTCACTTTATATAGTTTGTTTTACCATATTAGTTTTATGTCTGTACCGAAAGCAATTCAATAAAAATGTCCTTATGTCGTGAGTGACATTTTTATCAAAATGATTTTAAATATAAAATCATTGATTTGACTCAACAGTGTCGGTACACACGGTCACGGCCGGCCGATAAATTAAGTACGCTTAGATAATTTAATTTAAATAAATTATAGTATATATTATTACGTTATAATAATAATAATTATAACGTTTTTATATTAACTTCCAAACTCCAAGCAATTGTATATTTCGAAAATTGTTTAATATTCTTTGGCTGTTTTTTAATGATACCTTAATTGTTTTTTTTAAAAAGGAAAATGAGTCTTAACACATCATTCCCACCGACACGCCCCACGAATGAATTAATTGTAACAGTGAAAATCTCCTTGGAATGAATGAACGACAAAAAAGTATATTGCTATCTCTGTCGCTCTGATCATAGCTGCTTATGACATCATCGCGAAATTTTACATAATAACACGATGTACAGTAGAGTTCAGAATCAATTCATGAATCTGAACAGTTTGCGCTGATGTGTGCATTTATTGTATAGAAGGCAAGATCATGATGCACCAAACACCCACGAATCCGCACTGGCCCTCTCACTGCGGGCTTACCCTAACATTGTTATGGTATCAACCATAATAAATATCACAATAGAATTACATTTTATTATGTTACAAATGAAATGGCCGCTCCAAAGTACGCTTTGCCTATAGGTACTGTCTTTCAGTAATTATTCATCATGTATACATTAAAAATCAGCCAAACTTAATTTTGCTTAGCTTAAAATTAACTCTAGAATTTCATATATAAAGTCTTTTCATTTATTCGGACGAAGTCCCTTCAAGCACACGATTTCCAAAAGGCCAATATAGTTTTTTCTCTCTCTAATTTTAGATAACAAATCCAATTAATATTTAAATAATAAAAAATCATTAATTACAAACAAAGTAGTAGTAAGTAAATGTGTATAATATATAATGTCCTCTGGCGACATCGACCAGACGTTTCTGATAGATTATATCTATTTTCTGCACGTATCATAATTCATTTTTGAAATTCATATTACACATTAATATACTTTTTTATTTCCATTAAAAATCTTTGGATTTTATATTGCAATAAAATAAGACACATTATTCTTCCTAAAAACAACAAAAAAAAAACAAAAATAATATAATTTATCGTTGGGTAAATATCGAATACTCAATTTTCTACTTATATCTTACGCAGTATAATTATACGCCAAATATATAAAACTGTCGGCAAAGCGAATCGACTACCGTTCCTTTCCGAACTTTACTCTTTAAATAATAATAATTAATAATTCCCAGCTTTCATAGAAATTTGTTAAAAAACCTTTCATCGAGCTCATTTTTACTGTGTAATTAATATGAACAATCTAAGCATCTGCGCCTTTTAAATTCATTAAAATAATACTCATAAGAATAATAAACACATATTTTTTTATACAACTAATAGTATTAATTATTGTGGGAGCGTCATATCGACCGCCGCCACTGCCTCCGCCGCCGCGTCCTCGTCATGCTCGGCGACGTTCTGTTCGTTCTTCAGCTCCTCGTCGCTGGAGACATTATTCATGAGGAAATGTTTCCCGAAGTCCATGTCGGCATCGTACGAGGCCACGTCGGTTTCGGTGCCGCTCTTCTCGCAGCCCTGTTCAGGGTTGTCGACGTACCCCTCGTAGCTCTTGTATTCCTTCTGTTTCTTGCTGTTCTCGACGAATTGTTTCAGTTGTTGCGGCATAGGGAACGAGGATTTGATGTGGCACCGTTTCATCCAGTTCCTCAACGATTTCCGCGGCACTTTGTGGGTTTGAGCGGCTCTGAAATGGCACAGTTGATATATAGATGGCCTCTATTGAATGAATTTAAGATTACAACAATAATTGTGAATACGGAATCGCAATGAAACTCCTACACGAATATCATATTTATGAATAGTTGCGTTTTCAAAAAAGTGGATTTAATTTCAAAATTGGCAACGTTGACATCGGACGCGTTAACTGTTCCTGAATATGTTTGAGTGTTTACTCTAAAAGTACCTTATAATCAAAACTATGAACTATTTGTAGCCACATTATCATCAGTAGTCATTCTTTATACCCACCTGTAAATACTTCCACCCTTCTTAACATCCATCAGCGCCGCCCACATAGCTTCATTAGAATATCTCCTGTTCGGGTTAAACTTGCCCATCATCACTCGTTCCAGGTCTTTCCTGGACAATCCCGAAGAGCTTACCTCCTTGCCCTCCAAGAATTGATCCAGATCAGACTTTAATACGGTCTCTCCTATATCCAGGTTCTTGTCCTTGAACAGTGGGGGTCTACCTCTGCGTCTCATCTGTGTTTTTTCCGGTTCTTTGATTTTCGGTATCAGTTCCACTTCGGACTTGGCCGGCTGCCTTTTCTCTCTATTCTTCTTCTGTCCGGCTTTCAGTAGAGACACTTCTAATTCGCCGTTCTGTTCCAACCACGACTTGTAGAAGTCGTTCTCTGATTTTTGACCGTACTCCTCGGTCGGGGTGTTGGTATTCAAGCCGTATTTGGTGAATTCGTTACGCATTTCAGTCGGATTCATTTTTGCCAGTCTCGTAATGTAATCTGAATTGGCTTTGGATAAGCTCTGCAGTTTGTTTTGAAAGAACAGTTCGCTCTCAGGTTTAACACGTATGTAAGTGTTGCGACGCCCTGAAACACAATTGAATTTGGAGAAATCCCACAAGAGATACATCCAGATCGATCGTTTCTCAATCTTTTTAGTTCACAACTCACTGATAGAAAAAGATTTGCAAGTAAAAAAACGGGCGATATCAATTCGAAGTCAATGATAATTGTAAATGCGCATTTAAAATCAGGAATGCTGCTTGAAGAAAGAGTTAAGTATATCAATAGTTAGTCCTAGTTCTTCTGTTACTTATTTAATTAGAAGTTGTATTATTTAGCATTTTCCAATGTAAAGAGCAAAAATACCGCTCCCACCCATTATTTATCACTATATTTACCGTATACCATTTATTTTGATACGTACAATTATTTAGTACATAGTGTTTATTCCACAAGCCGCAAGTTTGAGAAACGATGATCTAGATACATGCGTTTGTGAACCATGAATGCTAGTATGGCGGTAGCGAGGTAAACAAAAATCGGGAGAGGAAAACAAAAACCGAAAAGACCAAAATGTCTGTAAGATAGTCCTGTGTAAAACAAAAATAATGGTAACACTAGTCGTCAATAAATGATCGAAATATGCTCACTGCATCTAGCCAAACCCTTTGGTGAGACATCACTCGGAGCTGTATAATAACTACACATTTTGGTACTTCCAGAAACTTTATTTGTAATTGCTACAATATATTTAATAATAAAATGAGAACAAGCTCCAAGACTATAATAAAACATTGGAAGTATTAAAACGGGCCTTCAGAACAGCTTCGAGTCATATCTCGTTAGAGTTTAGCTAAATATAATTTAATCATAATGACAACTAGAGAAGATAAAAAAGCACTCACTTTTGTTTTGGTAAATTTTCTAAGATAAAAATTATAAAAAATAAAAAGAAAATAACACATTCATGGTTCATAATTATTTTCTACTAAATACCAATTTAATATTGTAAATATTGTGAAGGTAGCCTACCTTACAGACATTTTTCAATCACTTTTTGTCTTCCGGTTTTTTTACATTTGTGTCCCACTATGATCCTCTATGAATGTTTATTATAAAAAACAAGAATCACAAATACGACCAAGTTAAATTAAAAAAAAGTTTGCGATTTTTATCGACGTATTATTTGAAAATATTATTTCAACATTTATATTACTATTTTGTGACGAGAGTTGTGATGACGAAATATTTAAAAAAGAAACAAGTCTTCTATTGTATTTGAAAATATGTTGTATTCAGTCTTTTAATAAACCGTATAATAATACAATATTGAACTTACCGGATGTCTGTCCGAGACTGCTGCCGGGTTTTCCGGGTTCTTCGTCCTGAAAAATATATTTACAATAATTTGAGTGATAGTGAATGACAAATGAGCACCAAACTTTAGAGTATATAAAGGATCGGATAAGTACTATTATAAAATCCAATTGAGTACAATCACTACTAATATAATAACTATAATGTATGTTATTGTAACCTCATTATACTCCATATTGTCGTGGTCTAGTTCACCGTAATATAACCCATCTTCCTCGACGGTCTCCTCTTTGACGCTTCTCTCTTCTGATTTCCGTTTCTTGGGTCCGTTGTGTGTTGGAGGGTTGGGTTTCTGTGCTTGATGCGTTTGGGGGGTCGCTGTGCCTGCGGATAATGTTGACGTCAGTACCTCATTGTCAGAGCTTGATGGCGCATTAGTTAGGCGCGTACTGTTTGAAGGATCGGAAGGATGGCCAAACATTTATTATCTCGAGCTCCCGCGAGTTTCCCTGCTGCGGTTAGCCGTTAGCGCCCAATACTCAGCGCTGGGCCCGCCTGAAGGGCTATGGCCTGGTCTTAGGTGTCTCTATCTAATAGGGAACAATGTTATTATTCAGTGTCTAACTGTGTCTGTAACGCTCTTACTAAGTGTAATAAATAACATATAAGAAAGAAAGAAAAATGAGAACTAAATTTGTTTTTACGTAGCAACACCCTGAAATGAAATTACCTCTTTTAATAGTTAAAAGAGGTGATATTGTTAAAACAAAATGTCAATGTTACGCCATTTGGACGCTGTGCTATTGTAGGATAATGACATTTAATGTTTGTGACGCGACAGAAAATGTTAAATATCTCGTCACATTAAAATACACAGGTGATTATTTTGTGACAATATTTTCGGTAAACGAAAAAAAATATGAAAATTTTAATTAATTTCTATTTAATATTATTTGGTGTAATATCATTTCTTAAAACATTATATGTTTTGTTTCAGAGAAACAGAAAAGATAATGTGTGGCTGTGTGTGTGTATGTGGGCGTGTGTGCGTGTACCGTTAGTGTTGGCGTGGTGCGCCTGCGCCACGAGCGCCTCGCTGGCCACGGTGAAGTCCTTCGCGTCCGCGCCCCCCGCGCCGCCCCCGCCCCCGCCCGCGCCCCCCGACAGCCCCGACGTGTCGCTCGAGCACAACCCTGGCGGGGTAACCACTTAATCAGTGCATATCTCCTACGGGTTTATTGAAAAAATGTGCAGTGGGTACCAACATCGACAATAGCTTGAATATTGGGTTTCATTCTACAAGGACATGTCAACCCCATCGTACCTTGTTAACCATAAATACCTTCGATCTACTTCGGAACTAACTTGCACAGCTGATTGTATTCAGATTATTGAAATTAAAATACCTTTATTCAAGTAAGCTTATTTGAAGCACTTTTGAATCGTCCAAAATTTTTTTTTTGAACTGTACAATAGAGTAGTATTTTACTTTATTTCTACTCCTCGTATGTGTATCGACACATATACTTTTGTATTTGTATAAGAAGCAAGGTAGTACACAAAGTATCTATAAATGAAATCAAAATTATTTATTCAGTCTAGGCTGTTAAAAGCACTTGTGAAAGTCAAGAGCTACGCCATCGGTTCGTAAATCTACGGCGGGAGACCTTGTACCGAGAAGAGCCGGCAATAAACTCGACAAGGGCTGCGTTTTTCTCCCTGTTTTATTTCATACAGAGCGTCAAGATTGAAAAATCGCTTCATTAAAATATGAAGTCACTTTCCATGACAATTTTAGAAAATATAAAAGTAAAACCGTTTTTCGTCAATCGAATCACATGTCTAGTCAAACAAGCTAACCAATATACATAAAATTAATATACATAAAAATAAGCCATATTTAATACCAAGCAGTTTCGTCGTTTAAATATTCATTAACTACTGTTAAATATCATTGACTGAGTAGACAATTCTTAATGTGGGTTTTAAATTTAGGCGGTAAGGGTAAGTTTAAAATATCCATAGGAATTTTGTTATAGTAGTATATACCTTTACCCATAAATGTTGCTAGAACCTTCTTTAGCCTGCATGACGGCAAAACAAGTTTATCATTGTTTTTAATATTAAAATTGTGTAAATGATTATGTTTAATGCAATTGTTAATATTGTTTCTAACATAAAGTATACAATTGTATATTAACTGGGAGGCCACTGTTAATATCCCAATTTCTTTGAATTTATCTCTAAGTGATGTTCTTGAACCTAATTGATAAATAGCTCTTATTGCTCTTTTTGAAAAATAAATACAGATTCTATATCTGCAGCCATACCCCACAGCAGAATGCCATATGATATAACACTATGGAAATAACTAGAGTATACTGTCCTGGCAGTATCTACATACATCTGTGAGTTGTCTCATTTATCTTATTGCAAAGGCAGCTGAAGTAAGTTTTCCAATTTAGAATCCAGTTTTACCCAAGAAGATTGTTAAATCTACAAACTCGAGCTTTTTATCATTAAGTTTAATTTCTGTTAGTTCAGCTTTTATATTGGGTAACATAAACTTTATATATTTCGTTTTTTAGCATTTAACTGGAGATTATTTACTAGGCTACTTTAAGACAACGAAACAACGCCTCACCTCTGATCTGCAACGCTTCAGCTGACTTGAGGAGGCTCGGCAGCTCCTCCTGTGTTACATTCACTTCTCCCTTGTACATGAAGTCTACCAACGCCTGCATTTCGCTGAACCTGCAAATATATAATAACACCGACATCAGTAAGCTGACTTCAGCGAGTATTCATTTGTGTCGTGGGAAATGTTACGTGGAACTACATAAAGTTGCATTGCCAGGGCGTAAGACAACTTTATGATGTTCTAGTTACGAGATGGGCTGGTGTCATGTTTGATGGCAGATCACTGGTCGTCGTGTTACTTACCTCATGTCCCTCATGAGTACTATGGGGTGTTTGCACGGGTTCTGTAGCAGGAGCTTCTCCAGATAAGCGGAGCAGGCGGACAGCACTAGCTTGTGACATCGCAGCTGTCGCGACTCGCACGCCAACGTCACGTCCGCGAACTGCTCAGTGAGGAGCAGGCGGGGGAACACGGCCTGTGCATAAAGCCTGCCATCCTTTACCTGCACGAGTAGCCTGACGAACTCGAGAACGTTTTGTTTGCACCTAGATGTCAATTTTTCTCGGGTGTGCCCATACGACTCTAGACCCGAGAAAATTGACATTTGGTGTAGATAAAGCGTTTCTCAGGTTTGTCATACTACGCGTGCTGGATATAAAACTTGCAAAAAAATACTTTTCTGAAAACCGCGTCAAAACCGTGTTAAAGTGCGATACTCCATTTTTTTTTTAGTTTGTTAATATACTTAAAACCTTCTCCTAAGTCTGACAAATACTATGCTGAAAACAAAATCGGTTCAGCCAAACGCGAGATAATCGCGGTTAAAAATACATATATACAGGTCAACTGAGAACCTCCTTTTTTGAAGTCGGTTATAAATAGATTACAATAGAAAAGTGATTTGTGTGTGAAGCTTTTTAGAGTTTCATATTTCATATTTTTCCTAGACATCTAACATTTATATTTAATATAGGCAGGGTACATTTTACAATGCTCTACCATGGCGCAAGAGGTGTCTTTGAACATTTTAGGTAACTTTTATAAATATGAAATGTGTTTTTGTGAAAAACACAAATAGATAATGAATATTTTTTGTCATTATAACATATACTGTTGAGTTCCACGAATCTGCATCGCTCTTACTGTGTTCATCCGCTAAGGAACCTACGTATTTACGACTTCTATGGAATTTACAAGCATACAAACTCGAGATTACAAAGGCTTTATATGACGACCTCCATAGCAGAGTGGTTCGCTTGTTGGTCTCAAGGTGTCGCCAACTCTGAGATCTCGGAATCGATTCCCAGTCTGGTCATTGATGAAAATGAACTCTTCTCAATTGTCTCAGGTCTGGATGTTGTGGTACCTTCATTGTCGTAGAATCTGAGCAATATATGTGATGTTGTCTAATAGTGTCCCGCTCACAGATTACATACTGGTGACAAAGAATATAGTTAAAAAATTACCTGCAAGTTTGTGTGATAAGAATTCCACCTCACGCAGAACTGCTGTGGAGGTGCTGCCATCTTCCATCAATTGGTTTTCATAAACAGGTTTAATTCAAGAACATATCTACTTAAAATATCTTTGGCATATGACTACTTATCTAAGATTGCACTATATTTTTAAAACGGTCCACTGAAAATTTTCAATATCACAGGCTATATAGGTAAAAAAGTTAAGTTTTTTTTAATTTATTTTAATTAAGTACCAACAATACTTTATAAGTAGAAACTATTTAGACTAGACTGAATATATGTATATATATTTTAATACTGGAACTGATGTCTTGATAATATATCTGAAAAAGAACAAAATAAGTTCTGATTTTTTTAAATTATTTAATCGTATATACACATTGACAAATATTAAGGCACTCCTATTTCTCTATTTAAAAATTTTCATATTAAAATAATATTCCTAAATAAATAAAATGAAGTTTAAATGTTTTTTGAAAATGAAACAGTCACCGGTTTGGTAGATGACCTAATTTTATTATCCATATAAAATGTGATAAGGTTTGCTTTAAACAAAAACTTCCTAAAATTTATTTTATATAAAGAAAGAACTGAAATAATAGCGTTTAATATGGCATTTAACACAACACAAAAAGGCACTTGACAAAAAAATCTTTCGAAATTTTTGAGAACCACTCGCTCGTCCATCAACAAACCATCAACGCAGATGCTAAATGAAGTTTTCTTTTTAAAATATATGTAGAGACGGTAGAGCCAAAAATAATGTTACTTGTATAAATTTATTCAGTAGAAATCGATTTATTAAAACGAATTCCATTATTAAATTCTGTTATTAATTTATTTTTACTCTGACTACTCGAGTACTACGGGTGGAATAACAGGTTAATACAATACAATCATGTATAAATAATAAATGTCCTTCAAAAAGGAGTTCCAAAGTTTTTGCTTCACCTATAAAGCTAAAATATAATAAAGCTAAGGAAAAAGACATTCATAATTAGAAACTATTTCGTCGACAAACTTACGTTTGTATAACTCACATCAAATAAAAAAAAGAAAAATATTCTAAATAACATGAATGAACACGACATAGAATTTTAAACATGTATGTAGATGAATTGTCCGCTCTATACAAAGCAGACAAGGTGGAAGTTCCATGCATAGCTTAATGTAATTGAGCAACTTTCAACATCAGTGCGAGCGAGAAAGATATATGTCGGAAAATTCTCCCCCACAGTAAAAGTTACAAACAAAAAGGCGTTAGAACATAAAAATCAATATCGGACGCAGTAAAAAGAGGGCAAGTCTGACCCTACGCCATATTGTGATGTATTTGTTGTAGAGTCAGTGTCATATAATTTAATAATAACAATGATAAAAAATAGTCTTAAGATTTGAATCGCAAAGCTAGTTATGATGTAGAAGTAACTAGAATTATTTAACAGGTTTGTATTATGATGAGCAATGTTTAGGCTTATTAATTTACTTTGAATAGCACATGTTTATTGAAAAACGTCAAGTACAAGAAATACAGATAATTTATAAACAGCAATGCAAATAATAAAAGTTTTTTAATTCTAAAAATCTGGTAGAAGGTAGGACTTTTGTTTTCAGGGAAGGACTTAATCTTTTACTCTTAGATTATTAAAATTAGAACTTATCATGTACTCTAATATCATATCTATATCAAGCTTAATTTGAATCATTGACCAGCATCTCATTTAAATCAATGACTCTACATACGTAATATAAGTATAACATATTATTTTTAAATTCTGATAAGGCTAATACCATGATACAATTTACATTCTTCGGAATCATTAGAAACATCTGATCCAATCTTCTTTGACAATCTCCATAAGGGTTGGTTCGTTACGCAAATGTCTCGGGCAAGTCGTCGGTTGTTCCTAGTCATTAATGTAATGCATTTTCACCTTAGGCGATTCCTAAATATGCGGACGACAAATAATGGCGACTAATAAAATTAATAAAATGGGCATCGGTTCACGATGCAGACGATCTTCAATTTTACTTTTGGTGTCTTAGCGGAATATGCTAAGATGAAAATGTTAAAACCTGGCTTTATAATTATTATTTGGTAATTATCTGTTGATTGTGAATCTTATGCACCTTTAAATACAAAGATATGTAAAAAAATAACACTTGAGTCATTCTAATACCGGTTATGGTATGAATTTAGTAACTTATTGTCTCAATTAGTTTACATGCGTCATCAATATTATATTTGGGTACTGCATTATCTGCACGTTCATTATTAGAGATGAAGTCTACGACTAAAACTGATCATATGTCTGGTTCAGTAAATTTAGATGTGAACCTATTAATTTAATTACAGAGCTACGAGATGGGGCTTCATCACCGAATGCCAGTTGAAGTCTCAGCAACTCTCTGACTAAAAGCAATTTCAAAATTAAAATTTATAATTATTCAATGGTACCTCTTCAAAGGGTCTCAGATAGAATAAATATCAATAAAAAGTTTTTAGAGAGATCCATTTTCGAGTTTATTAATGGCATATAAAATTTTCAAATAAGTATCACAGAATATTAGGACAATTATAAAAATAGTAAACCTATAATTTATCCACGCTTTATTTAAGGGTTAAAATATAGTAGATGTTTATTTTAAGGTTATAATATAAACTTTATTTATATATAGTTTATTTATATATATATAAATTTATTTATATATATATAAATTTATTTATATATAGTTTAAACTTTTTTGAAGAAGTGACTTTTTCAGCGTGACCCCAAGAGAGGCTGCGCATTGTTCGTATATTGAATTCATCAAAATCAACAAATAGATTCACAAACTTGCGCATTTATAATATGGATAAGGCGTTAGTAGAATACTTATTAAGCTAATAATGTATAAAAACTTAATATGCTCTTGATCTCTTTCCCGCCTGGTTGATGTTGTTGTCAAACATACTTTGTTGTATTTAAACTGTTGTTATGAATTTTTTATGCTTTAAAAAAATGTGGGTAGATAAAGTTAGATGTGATTTGTGATGTAAAAAAAGACACTTTTCTAAACTAAAATATTCTCCAACTATCAATCATGAATATATGCATGGATTAATGATGAGGTTGGTCTGTAGGTCGCTATATTACAACGTGACTTATTCTATCTCTCTTGTCACTCGAAAGAAAGATAAAGATGGAATATGTTTACTGCATAACAATTGACATTAAAAATGATAACGTATATATTTTATTATTATCTTTTTATTGCATATTGTAGGGGTTTTTCATTCGCAACTGTGTTGGCGATAATTGAAAGTAATTAGATATTATGGCTTTAGGACACATAGTGATTATATGGAGGCCGGTAGACCCATCACACTTTGGGGGCGTCCATAAATTACGTGAGGTGTTTTTTCAAATTTTCTGAACCTCCCTCCCCCCCTGGTGAGATGTCGTGAGATTTTATTCAATCCCCTCCCCCATCCCCAAATCTCACGTGAGATTTTTCAAAATGTGGGTTTCTTATTTAAACACGTTGGATTTTTTAATAAAAAGAAAAAAAATAATTCGCTTCGTTCTTTTATTTACGACTAGTTAGAGACTAGTAATCAATATTGCTCTCATTCATCGAGTCACATGTTCAGCTGACAGTGGCGCGAAAACAAAGGACGGGCTACATTGTACCGTAAATTCAAATTAAATTGAGCTATTTGGTATAAAACGAATGAAATTATTTTCTTTCCAACGAATTAGTGAACGATCTTAATCTTAGACTTGTCTCTCTATGAGGGATTCCCCACACCGAGCCTTATTTTAAAAATTGCGTGATATTTGCCGAGACCCCCCTCTCTCTCCAACGTGAGATTAGATGAGATTTGACTCGACTCCCTCCCCCCCTTAAACATCTCACGTAATTTATGGACGCCCCCTTTGATGTTGTTCCTGGGGAGGTAATAGTGGCTGAAGGGCCCTGATTAGAGGCATAATCAGCATTTTCTCTTTGAGAATTCCATGACTAGGCGACGTTTTAATAGAAATATATAACTAGCTTTCCGACAGCGCCTCGCCCGCCTGGTCCCCAGGGAACTCTTTATTTGGATATCGATTCGATTCATATCATGACACGAATGTAAATACAATGACAAATGGAATTGTAAACAATAGTTACTGTGGTAACGTTTTCATTTCCTATACAAACTTTCTTCTATCCATTTGCTGTTTCAGGATAAAATAAAGCCTATGTTCACCGCATTGGATATAGCTTCCGCTGGTGAAAGAATTATTAAAATTGGCTTAGGAGTTTCGGAGCTTATTCGTTGCAAACAATCAAAATCCTTCCTCTTTATAATATTAAAATATAGAAGAATATATTATGTCAGAAATATCTAATTTAGCGATTTTTTTTCATACATCGATGACGTCAAGTGTTACTTTGCCACCTGTCAAACCTAGAGCCATAAGGCAGAATCTGGAATTACAAAGATTGTATGTTTACTATTTAACTAAACAGAAATACATATTCAGATTTATTGGGGCTAAAATGAGGATCTGAGACTTGAAAATTTAAGTGAGTCGAACGTTTTGTATGTTTTGTTTTGTGTGCCCTTTAGGCGAGACAGAAATAACTGAGCAACAAACAAAACCAATTAACCAGTTCTCGTTCAATGAACATATTGTAAAGATGGATCCTCTATATTGTTATAGAAATGCACATACATATTGCAATGTAATTTTCGAAATAATTTTTTAATGACACTGAGTACGCATATACAATCAAACGAGGCGTTGCTTAAAGAACAAATGATTTTTTTATTAACTTCTCCGAATGTGTTGTAAGATTTTTAAATATTAATATTTACTTGTATTTAAAAAAGATGAAACAGTCAAACGGTAAAATCGAATTTGGTCTCCGTTTTTATAAATCTTGGACTAAGTAAGTAATTTTCGTGATTAAAACTTTATCAGCTTTCAAAACTCAATCAGGAAGGGAACTGTCTCGAGATAAGTAAAAAAGGCGCTCCCCAAGGGTCTACTGGTTCAATGACCCTAGGGGCGCTCCCGAAATAGTCCGTGCGGGGGTCTGCGAGCCGACCCTGTATTTATACCGAGCTTCAGCGATTTGAGGGCAGACATGTTTCTTAGTAAAACCGTCTTATTGGAACGAGAATGTCTATACTTGGGACGACACCTATTTTATGCGGCGTCTACAAAATATTAAGAGTGTTCATTATAAATCACTTAGCGAATTATGTTAGATTAGGATACACTGGACAATGGGGGGAAAAATTTTGTCAAAATCAACTGTCCAAAGTTGTTATTAAACTCAGTAATTCAGTGAATTCAAATCAAATCGGATTTAGGAAAATCATGCCTGTACGTTATAAATAGTAGGATGTAAATGATGTCACTATATAAATAATTTTAGTATAAAAGTAGTTTCCTACGAATGGACTTCCAAAACAATGCAGCAACATAACGCAACGTTTGTATTCCTATTTTTACGTGTCTTTCCCATATCTATATTTTATGTAAATAATATAACATTGGATTCATGACAGCTAATAGGTAATAATCAAAAAAAAGCAAATGTTAAGCTATCCTAAAATACAAAATATTGTTAACTTTATTAATGCAAGTGTCTAAATAATGGTACCTATTATGTGGAGACATTTTTTTTGTGATCGTATAGCTAGCAACTTCCGTATTCGTGGTGCTGTAATCTCTGAGGTCCTGGGTTTGATATCCATACAGGTGAATACGGAAAATATGTATTGTACACAGTTGTTTAAAGTTTACAATTTATTGACGTATAATATGAGAAATCTGCATGACGGTGCCTTATATATATAAACGTCTCTACATATCCATAATAAAATCTATTTTAAAATCATACTAAGTCTAATTAAGGGTTTTTGTTGGTTGATTTGTACTTTTAGTTTAAACTAATGCGCCTACCTATGATACTGTGACCTACGTCACATTGCTTGTATAACAATGCGTAACAAGATCTGTAAAGAGATAAGTGATACTTAAACTAAGAATATGCTTCTGCCATGATGTTCAATAACATCTATTGAAAAACTTTGGGTTCAAGACATTAGCTACCAAGTACATTCAAGGTCTTTACATAGAGTGGAATGAAAAATTCTAATATATAGCAGCGATTTGTAGTTAAGATTTCAAATATTCAATATAAAATTTGTATATAAACTGCAGAATATTTTGGCATAATATTTGTCGGGTCAGAAAAGTCAACAATAAATAACTTATTATTAGAAAAGAAATGCTACTGGTGAATATTGCATATGCAAAGATATAGAAACTATCAAAACACTGGTCTATAAATGAAACCGAAAGACACACTTAAAAATATCTTATCGCCACATTCAAGGTAGGTAATATGCGGTAAATATTGGTTTGGCCATATGACCGATAAGTGCTCATAAATATATAAAAAAAAAAAATTAGGACTCACCACTTCATCAACTATAGGTATATCCGAAAATATTGAAAATGTCACACGCGCTTACAGGAAACGCAGTAATAAATATTTTGGTGTTTCCTTGGCAAGTACTCAGTCGTGAACGGTTACGGGAATATAATGATGGTTTAAACATGAGCACAAAGCCAACATTTGTCCGATCCCAAAATAGTATACGCAGGCCCCATCTAATGTTATAAACATTCAGTAGGATCTCACCAAGACACACATGTAGGTATGCCTCACATAAAAAAAATCAATATTTAAAAACTTTTTTACGGAACTCTAACGAGAGTGTTATAAAAATTACACTGGCACGAAACCGCAATGCAACAGAAACGGCGAAATGGTCGACTCTATTCCAAGTGCCTACTGAAAAAACGTGAATTTTCATGACCACAACCTCTGGTGTACGAAATGTACAAAATTAAACCAATACTCACATTTGTGGACCTCGCGACTACACATCACGTATGTAATTAGCGTCGTATGATGTTTTTTTTAACTATGAAAATCAATAATTTTTAAGAGCACAAAATTGTTCATATTTTTCCATTGGGGCCTCGCTTTCCTCCTCTCTCAGTCTCGCGGACACTTAAAAATGAAAAACCTATTGCAAGAAAACTGTGGAAACGAAAGAGATGCATATATGTCGCCGATTGTAAATAATGACAAGGGGCAAATCATAACAAAAGAGTGAGACAGTCGATAAAGTAAAGATATTGAGTTAACAAAAACAAATGCGTTACGTAATTCTACGTTTATTAGTCGACAATCAATACGTACCAGTTTTTGAGTTTTAGTGTGGCGGTTAACGTCAATATTTGTGTTCTAAATGTTTTTATAACATCGCGAATGCATTTTGATGGCAAGCTGCTATCACCCGTCACGCGGTCGCCATATGCAATAGCGTGCGCCGTGCACTCAACTCGCGTCTCAATTCAGATCGTTCTTTTGATAGATATGAATATGATTGCCAAGTTATTTTATGTATAATATATTGGGTAATTTATATTTAATAAATGTTAAGTGTGATTACATTATATTGCCTCTCCTCTATATACACTAAGCATTTCGATTTCTAATCGAATGTAGTCATTAAAAGTATATATAGAGCCGACTCTACAAGGCACATGCCATTAAAGGTGGCAACATTTTTTCCACGTGTCAGATTGATTAAAATGGCGGGAACTTACAAATAACGTTTTTATCTAAGTTACTAAGTTAGAAGTGTTATTTTTAAATATTTATTATAATACGAGAAAAAACTGTCAACAAAATAATCGAAATAAAGATATTAAGATTTAACTTGAAAATACTAAGTATACGAATCTCGAAAAGTGACCATTTATCATATTAATTTTATATTTGATATGATTTGCCAATCAGGCACTAGGTACGGAACAGTTTTGATGAATTAATTATTTTGAATCTAGTTTATATCTCAGTATATCACTGAATTATAAAAGCATTTCGTCACTAAAATATGTGAATATAGAATATACGATCGGAGAAATCAGAGCATTCATACTGGGACATATCAAATTTGAAAATCATTCATGCAGTCTAGCTACAGGCATTTATGATTGTCGAATGTTATGCCATCGGTTCGCAAATCTACTGAGAAAAACCGGCAAGAAACTCAACAAGGACTGCTTTCTTTCTCCCTGTTTTAGTACATACAGAGTTGTCGAATTAAAATTAAAAATTGACGTCATAAGAATATGAAGTCGCTTTCCATTACATAAAAGACATATTTTTCTGGATAATCAATCTTTAAATATTTTTCTGAGAGATCCCCTAGACCGTATAAATTATATCCCACCAAATGGTGTTATGGAGCACCTGGTTTTGTACCCTTGTGTACCCTTCAACGGCCAAGTTACACAACATTAACTATAATAATAAAGAAATAGCTGTAAGAAACCTTAGACTTTGCACGACTTTGTTTAGATTTAATTACTTTTTAGAGATAAACAAGCAGCTCCATAGGCTTGGCTAGTTTTTTTACAGAATGTTTTTGGTGGAATATAATTTACGGTCTCAGAGAAATATTTAAAGAAATATTTTGTCCGTTACCTCTCAATACATCTATGAAAATATGATGTACGCAAAAAAACATAACGATTCCTTCACAAAAAAGTAGTGTTCATAATCTTAACACAACAAATAAAAATAAACTTGCCGTGCCAAACTTCAGACTTCAAAAAACCAGAGGCTCATTTCTGGGTAAATGCAATGCTATATTCAATAAAGTTCCACAAAATGTAATTGACCTACCCATAAATAAATTTAAAACTGATTTTTGTGAAGTAATTTATTTAACGAAAAGTGTGCAAGCAATTGGTGTCTTAGAAAAGAATTTCTCAAATGTATCGGCAACCGCTTCATATATTTTAATAACTTTATTGTCAACCTCTAATGAGTATGTGCGCATATTATTTTTATTTTTCCCCGTTTCTTGATTTATGATAGTCCAGGTTGTTTGTTTTTATTTTAATTTCTGAATTGTAAACTTTTTCAGATATATATTTTGCTTTTGCTGAAACATTTTTGGGAAAGTATGCCCAACAATTTTTTGAATAATTTCTGACATATTCAATAAACTTTGGATCAGTCAAAGTACACTTTAGCCTATACTAATCATGCAGCTTATTTCGACTTTTGTAGATGCCAGACCTAGAAATATAATTAGTTTCAATTATGGGTGTATAAAACTAGTCCCCAACACATATTCCCGATTTTCAATGGATTTTCCTTCCATTTTAATTTTATCGCATGTATCTCATCAAGTCTTGCAACTGAATTTTAAAATAGGTTAAGATGAATCTTCACACATATTTAGTCTAGATAGCAATGCACAGTTAGTTAAGTGATATTATTAAAAATCTTATATGAGGGGCGCCCTAAATGCGGCTTATTATTAAATTAATCATGAGAGTATACTGAAAAAAAAATTTAAACTTTTATGATATGAATATAGTTGGCTAAGAAAAACAATAAACCACCGAAGATGGTGGACTAGTTATTTTTAAACACTCTCACAGCATGGATATCGAATGAAACTGTTAACCGAGAAGATCATTGTAAAAACTTGATTTCATTATAACTTCAATATGTTGGACGTAGACCGACTTGTGAATATATAAGGTCCTAATGAACTCTTCAATAATGAAATTCTGATGAATTTTAACAACATATTGCTCTTAAAGAAAATTTATGAGCAGTTTTTAAAACCTTAAATGTCAATATAGCATTTTGAATGTAAACTTCAAATAATATTCGCCAGGACATATTTTTTTATATTCTCTATTAAAACAGGTTACCTCTTAAATTCAATGTTTTTAAATTTCTTGTAATTATAGTCTTTTCAAGGGGATAACCACTAGCAGTTTTTAGCACACCGATTTCAAGGTGCCACTGTCTCTAAGGTCCCGGGTTCGATTCCCGGTCGGGTCAAAGTAGAAAATGATCTTTTCTATATTATCACAGGTCTGGTGGTACTATCGTTGTCTCAGATATTTCATAAGACAGCTAGTTTTAGCTATTCATCTTCTAATCGGAGCAATGTACATGAAAGTCTAATAAATAGGTGTTTATAAACAAGGTGTGTGATTGAGAAATTTTACAAAAAAATACTTTTGACTTTTTATTCAATATGCCGGCATCTGTACTAAATTGTTTCACTTACTGGCCTATTGAGCAGCAACTGAGTGCGGTTATGAACAGAGATTCTTCTTCTAAAAACCTTACCAGCAGTTGTAAGAGTTTTTACCAGCGGTTTTTTTTCATAGATAGGGTGATTCAAAAGGAAGGTTTTTATGTATAATACAAGACCATGCGGGCGAAGCCGCTGGCGGAAAGCTAGTAATTTATATAATTGAAGCACTTTAAAATCGACGACTACGCCTTCGTGCGCCAAATAGGAGCAGTAAGTGGGGACACACCCTCCCCACCACACGCCAAAGAGCAGAGAAGCATAGTTAAGAAGAAAACGAAGAGAATATTTCACTAAAATGTCAGATAACGAAAGCACTAAAAAAGCACCTCCACCAGATGGCGACTCTAGCAAAAGTTGATTTTTGCAAGAAACGAATGGACCAAAGACAGTCATTTCCGAACCTTTTAACTAACATTAAAAGTGAAATATGAAAAATTCTAAACTTAGATATCAATACAAATACGAGAAAGTACAGAGAGTAAGAGTCGTTTACTGAGTTTTGAAAACTAATTTACTTTTAAACATGAAAGAAAACCGGAATAGTTGTCATGGAGAAATTAAGAACGTACCGTAGCGACATCTAGTTTGATTTCGGGAACTAATGTTTTTTCTTAAATACTTCCTCATTAAAATTGAAACCTTATTTTATAGACATTAAAGTTTTGTTTTGCTCGTGAAATATATGATATACGAAAGCAGAAAGAGAAAAAAATCTTTACTCTTATTTAATTTGAAAATATAACATACTTTTTTATTTGTCCATTTAAAAATAAAGAAATCGAAAGTAGGCTGTATATATATTAATCCCTTTGTTTTTTCGATAAAGTTAGTGTTTAAGACAAAAATATTTGCTGAAGTTTAATATTCAAAAGTTGTATTTCGAAAACTAACGACCTCCGCAGCTTGAGACTAAAAAATTAAACCCCTTTAGTATCTGTGTGTATCAAAAAATAATATATAACACAAATTGTGTAGTCGTCAATATTAAAGTTGAGCTTTATAGTCAATTAAAAAGGCGCGAATAGCAGTGGCAACACTGTTTACAACGGACGATTAACAACAACGGCGACGACGGATCGAAACGGGAGGTGAGATCGATCGGGAGCTCGTATCGGTCACAAGAATATATATCGAGACGCGCGTCAGTCCTCGAAATCCCGTCAATTCTTGCAGCACTGCATCCTGTGAATCTACAGACGAAGAAGGAGGTATGGTAATAAAACGCCAAGTATAATAACAAGTATATTGTGCAGGGGTGCATTGAGGGCGGTCAGGGCGGTCAGGGCTGGGGCAGCGTGCACAGGTCGGGCGCCTGGTGCAGCGGCAGCGCGGCGGCGCGCACGAGTGCGGCCCACGCGTGGAGGCGCCCCGCCAGCGCCGCGCACGCGCCCGCCGCCAGCGCGCGCGGCCGCACCCACGTCACGCTCACGCAGCCGCTCACCTGGCGCATTCAAAGTGGTCATTTCAAGTGGTATGAAGAAACTATAATTATATCCGAATGTTCGTTCCAGAATAAGTAGTATAGGTCACGCGTCAGACCGCCGAAGAGCCGACACCTGACGTTAACGAAAGAATCGTGTCCAATTTTGACCTTAAAATTTACTAAAGCGCCTAGTGATGTAGCTCATTTTTTTTATTAATTTCATATCAGGAGATAAAATCTTAAAATAAAGTCTAAATACATATTGCAAGGTTGATAATTATATTTAAATAGTACTATGACAGCTACCCGAGTGCGATTCGGACCCGATGACGGTCTGCTATATACTGTTTCATCTGCTACGAAAAATGCAACGAAAAGTGCACATTCACAATTACATTTTTGATTTATTTCCATACTAGCTTGCGTCCGCGTGATCCCTAAAGAAATGTATTGTAAGATAAAAATTATCCTTTTATCTAAGTCAGCTATATTTTTATATTTCCTAATACCCTATCTGTAAACCCCAAATTTCATCAAAATCAATTCAGTAGTTTCGACGTGATTGATGTACAAACGTTCAAACAAACAAACTTTCACATTTATAATATTAATTAATAGGATAGTCTCTATTATTAAAAAATATATAATAATAGAAACTATCTAAAAATTATATTTTAATATAAACTATATTATATGGTAATATTAACTTTAAATAAAATTTTATACTAACTAAATGTAATTTGTAATAAATATTATTATTATTTACAAATTAAGAATCTCTGGGGCCTCAAAATAAAAAATTATAAGATATTATTACTGCTCTAACCACTACCGACTATAGAAATATTTTTTTCTGAATTAAATTCGATTATTATTACTTAACTTGGGACATAAAAAGCAAAATAATATCTATAAACATATTCCTGCTGTACCCGGAGACTGAAGACAAATTTTTTGTCGATACATTTATGATTTAAATAAACATGAATATAACATAAATATTCAATATTCTGTTAATGATACTAAACCATAGGAAAAAAATATAAATAAACTAAAAATTTACATTGTATAAAAGATAACTAGTACACACAACACAGCCTCCGCAAGGAAGCGTTTTTATCTAAATACTCTGAAAGGATCTAGTTTTTCCTCGAACATATATATACCTGGTCGATGTGCCCCTTGATCAGTTTCTCAGCGAGGGCCTTCATCAGCAGCAGCTCCACCTCGTCTCGGGGGACGCGGGTGGCGGCCGATACTTCAGCAAACGTCAACTTGCGCTGAGCCGACGTACGATTGAACGCCATCTACCGAACATTGCGACAATACACATATATAATTACATTGCCTCCGAACGCTCAATAGACTACATACAAATCAAGAAACAAAATATATTCGCTGCTAAAGAGCTTATGTGCTTTATAGACTGTTTTTATTTTACATTAATAATGAACGAAAAATCTTTATTAAAATACTATATTGAGGTTATAAAAAAAAAACAATGCAGAAAGAATAGTGTGTTAATTATGAGGTAATCGTTTGCAAATAATGTTAACGTCAATTATACACGTAGTGACCTCCATGAGACAGAGCAGGGCGGTCTTGTGCCGCAGCTGGGCGGCGCAGTCGCGCAGGTCGGGGTGGGGCGCCCTGGCCCTGGTCTCCTCGAAGGCGGCGATGTCCCCCGCCGCGGCCGCGCGCAGCAGCGCCAGCGCCCACGCGTCGCTCGTGCCCTCCAGGGACTTCAGGATCGGGTGCGCCAACTGGAACACGTTATTGTGTTCTGTCATAAGTAGCGTTATTACACGAGGCAGGTAGACGAGGTAGGTGACGCTCGGCTCACCAGTTCCCCCAGGTCGTACACGTCGGGCGCCCGTAGCGCGGCGAGTGCGAGGCGCAGCGCCAGGTCGCGGCGGTCGGCGGGCGGCAGCGCGGCGCCCCCCTCGCGGCACCCCACGTACCGCAGCGCGCAGCGGTAGTAGCGCCCGATGGGGCCGCGGACCCTGCCCGCACGTGATATACATTCTTAAACCAGCAAACGGCCCAAATACAGTGCGCGCGGATTTCGAAGGCGATAAATCTATCTAGTTAGGTATCATTTACAAAAAAACCGAGCAAAACTTAGTTATTTGTTATTCAAAAAAAACTTTCAAACTGTCTTATTTTTTTAATCTTCCAACCGTTTAGAAGGATTTTTTATTGACAAGAAGAATGGGCGAGATAAACTTTCTGTCTCCGACAGAATTAATGATATTTCCAAACACCATGTCATCGACCTGATTATTAAAATACGTAACTCAGTTTCGATGAACTTTACAGGAGAATGTTTATTTTTACTATGCATGCTTAAGTGAAATTATGAGTTATTCCTGTCAAAAAAATAAAAAGTTTTAATGTGCAGTTAAAGCGAATGCCATTTTAATAATTAATTATACTGATTTCATCTCTCATTTATTATTGTGAATATTAACAGTCTCATGAATGATTTTCTAATAATCAGTTATTAAAAAATAACACCAAATATATGAGAGCTATAAAATATAAATGAGTAAACCGATGAGCCTAAATTCCTGATGACATTAGGCCCATGCTGTTCAATGTTTCTAATAAAAAAAATATTTCTATTGAATTACTTACTTTCCTTTTTATAAATCAATTGAAATCAATAAAAATTTTCCATTCATTTCTTTAAACATCCTTAAACATTCCATACCTATAATATTCTGAAGCCAATTTGTAGAACCTTCCATGAACAGGCGTGACTCCATCTGCATCCTCCAATGTACCTTCGAGGTGTTCTATTATCTTCTCTGTAGCGTCTAAATCGTTGAGATGCTCCAGATATATCTGCCCTTGAAGCACCTGAAGATATGAACATGATTTGATTATGCTGTGATACAATGACTTGCTCTTTTTCTAAGAAGATTCAGACAACACAAAGTAAAATTACAATTTTATTTGCTTGTCCTTATGGAAGGTACCTAATAAATAGTTGAAATATTTCATATATTTTCCCGTATTATACCAATTTAAATTAATTAAATGGACTGTAGTAGTGTTAAGTATTTGAATGCATATTTTTATTAAATTCACCTTTGCAGTATGTGCATGTGAATGGTTGCAACCCTGATAACTGTAAAACATACTTTGGTAGTATGTTTTACAGTTATCAGGTAGTCAAGTGGTCCACAGAAAGCAAACACAGTAACAACAACAACCTACTAGAACAGATATCATAACTTGGTGAGTGAAACTTATAACAATAACAATTTACTTTGCATAGAGCGAGAGCCTCATCATTCATTTTGACTTTAGCCTCCATTTTCTCCAGAAATGCGATAGCATCTCTCTTGTTGCTGTACTGTTTCACTATATGAGCGACAATCTCAATCAGTGACAATGGGTTGATTCTGAAACACAATAAAACATATACAAAGGCATTGTAATGTTGTCCATTTAAGAATACATTATTATCGATAGTGCTATTATATTTATAAAACACTACTTACCTATACTACTTTAGTTATATTAATATATTAGCAACTACTACTAATTAAGTTATAATATTCTCCAAATATCAAAGGTTCACATAAGATGACATAGCAGATTTTCTGTTGATGTGTTCAATTAAAAATTAAGTCACACATTGTTTTCATATTTTTATTGGGTTAAATGATATTCTTATATATATTTACTAAAGTTGTAATGCATAACAATAGGAAAATTAAATTTAAAATGCATGAAATAAATTTAATTATCCTATTGTTAACTTAACTGTAAATTATACTTAATAATACCCCTTTTTTAATTATAACCATCTAAGAGGTGCATATACAATTGTGTGCTTAAAAAATTTTTAAAAGTGTAGCGGTATTCAGATCTAACTCAAGTCTTGGTCAATATGTAATTGTAGTTTTAGTAGTAAGAGTAGCAAAATGATGACAATATAATCAAGTCATTCTTTACCTAAAATGAGACAACTTACTTGTTCTCAAAAATGTTTATGAAGTTATTATATAGTTGAATTAAGTTGTCGCCTGTTTGCAGAGTCGGGTGACCGACGAAATCCAATAATTTTAGCGTTAATTGATGCCATAATCTGAAAATAATAACTCCACAGGTTAGGTTCGTTTACCATTGCAATACAAGTAGAAACAGAATACCAAAAGTTTACTTACTTTTTGTTGTAAAGTTCTTCTAATTTGGCCCAATCTGCTGCTATATTAGGTTCAGCAGCTTGTTTTTTTGATAGAAAATCATTTACATCAATAGCAGCAAACTTTACGGTAGCCATCTTTCAAATTTTTCGTGTAATGATCTGAAGTTTGTTATAATACCATTTGCAATATTATTTTCTCTTTGTTGTCGTGCTGTCACTGTCAGTGTCACACAAAATCATAGCAGAGGGATATTGTACTATTCAACCAAACCATAACCAATAAGAAGAAGAACCATAACCAATTAGTAGGCGTCACTGCGCCATCTAGTGTCGAGTAGCTAAAAAAAAAATAATACTACTGATAAAAAACATAGATGTCATTAGTTGTCTTTGAGCTAAATTGAACCAAATAAAATTTTGTTTCTCACTAATATAAGGTATATATTGTCTTAAAGGATTTAAAATCATTATCACTGATTGATAGAAAATTGGTACAAAATCTTACCACAAAATTGCATATCTACAAAGTGCATTTTTAAGCACTTTTTCTTAAGAATATTTTTCAGTATAGTATTGTGAATGCAAAATAGATCAAATATAATAATAAGAACAAATATATTTCTTTCGGCTATTTGGGTGGACTGCCTGATCATTAATGAAAATACGCTCTGAAGTTGCAAGAAAGTATCAAGTGCTTGAAAAATTCCTATTAGGTCACTGAACTAGTGGTTGGAGCAGTCGCTAGGGTTGCGGAAGGTCGTGGGTACAAGTCCTATCTCAGAGTGCCAGGGACAAAGTGGATTTTTAAGCATTTTTCATTAAGAATATTTAAATATCATTTTGCCGGTCTCCTCTACATGTATAAACATTTCACAGGAGTCTTAAACAGAAGAGTCTTACGTACAATTCTTCATAAATATACTTTTTGGAGAAAGAAATAATAATATTTCTATCGACGTATACTCGACACCAACAAAACATACTTAAATAATTTCGTCAATTAGTCATGAATTAATCTATCCGTTAAGGAAAACCACATGAAAATCCACAGACAGATTTACAGACAGCGCAGGGGGGGGATGTCTACATTCTTATAAATAAATTATTTACAGTGGACACTACAATGTGATTTATTCAATTAATTTAACTGAAACGCACTTACTGACACTATTGGTGAAACTAAAATTCCCCACTAGTCAATAAAATTAAATAAATTGTCATTAGAATATTGTAAAAATAAATAAAATCTGAAATATTGTAGTTTCAAGGTATTTAAAGCATTGTTATATAACCAATTTATAATAAATATAAGATCACAAACGTTGTTGAGATTCAAAATTGAGTAACTAAAGTACTTTTATTATGGTTATCAGAAAATGCGAGGGTACCTTAGCACCCAGACCCAAAACAATATAGAAAAGTTAATTTTCTCCATTGAGCCGACCGGGAATCGAATCCGCAATGGGGGTAAAAAAAAGTAGGAATCTGCAACATATATTTAAAAAAAAAGATATAAAAGTCACTATTTGTGCAGTGAGTAATTTAGAACGTGGGTGCACTGTTTATGTACTTTGAATATAAAACAAATGATGTGCCTCTACAAGTTATGTATCTCTACTTGTCCCATGTGGTAATACCTAAGCGTGTTCAGTAGAGAATAGATAGAGAATAAATACATGCATCGTAAAAGCTCATAAAAAGCTTGAAATATGTATGCTAAAATACTTATGCATCGAGTGTAATATACAAAACAAAAAAAAATCTCTTTATCTTAATATCGCATAAGTCTGATTTAAAAAAAAATCAATAAGGACCGTTTCTAAATTGTTTATAATTTGTTATTATCAAAATCACAGGGTCCTAATATTATTTATTTATATTCAGTGTGAAGAGTGTTCCTTTGATCGAAGCTACTGAGTAGTATTTTTATTTTAGAATGATAGTTTTGTTTCTGGATTGCTACCGTGTACCTTGTATTTATTGAAGTCCCGATGTTTCAGCGCTGTTGTAAGTGCCATTATACTTATTTATACGGTCAATCAAATATAAACCAACCCTATGTATTTGATAAAAGGTGGAATAAAAATTGAATTTATGGCCAATACATTCTTTTCAATTATTATAGGTCCCTACCTATAATAATTGAAAAGAATAACCTTCTTTGTTTTAATTAACAAAGGGACATTGACAAACCGTTTGACAGATAACTATATGGTATGCTTATGAATCATATTCGACTCTGTCGCTTAGTGAACTATTTATGTATAGTTTGACCATCGTAGTGAAGCCGTTTAGTTGCATAAAAATCATTCAACATATTAATTCTGCCGTGATAAAGATCATGAACAACAAGTGTCCCGAAATTGACTAGAATCCTAATAAGTCACTTATGAATAATAAATCTTATAAATATGGAATGTTTCATATTTATAATATTAATATCCATCCTGCCATATCGCTGAGGGTTGGTTTAGAGCTCGGTTACTCTATATAGTACTCTATTCTTCCTATTCCTAGTACATGTATACCGATGTGGTTACGTGGTTGTTCTTTGGAATAACTGTTGAAAGGTTTACAAAGGTTGGTTTCAGCGCGAGCTTACTTTAATGTAGAGATAAAACGATTGTCACGAATACAAGCGAATACTGAACAATATATACAGGGTTATATTATTTTTAAAACTCCAACATCGATATTCAGTAACAAAATAGCAAAGAATTCGCCGTAGAGCACAGCGTTGTCACAGCGTAGAGGTTCAATATATATATTTTTAATTTAAGTTTTATTTAAAGTAGGTACACTTACATATTACAATACATGACTTAAATAAATATATCAGATTATTTAGACTAGCCAATAATTCAAAATAAGTGTACACAGAATAATTAACTAACAATTTATCAGAGGACGATCTATACAATCCTAGCAATAAAAACTAACTTTCGCCATCCTAACACTTATAAAGAAACGATTATTTCGTAGGTGAAGACACCTGGTTGTTAAGGAAGACATTTATAATCTTTTTTATATCTGGAGAATTTATGATCAAATATGTCGATTACAGGGTCTTTGCTACTACAGGAAATCTCATTAAATGTGCGACGCATTCTAACGGGAGAGCTGTAAAACGACTTATTATTTTTGTATATCTGCATTGCAAATATATTAGGATCAATGGAAGCATGCAGTCATTTATGAAGGTACAGTAGGTCGTACCTTCTACGTCGGGACTCCAAGGATATTACACCGAACTTGGATAACCTTAGAGAGTAAACTACCCAGAGTACGACCAAAGTTATGCTTGCTTGAAAAATATTTTAGGCACCTCCTCTAAAGGGTAACTCTCTCAGGACTATCTACTTAAACTTTGTAATAAGTAGACCACACAGTAGAACAATACTCTGAGACACTTCTCACTAAACTGAAAAAAAGGCTCAAAGTACTATACGGACTCTTAAAAGATTTTATAAACCTCATTATAAAGCCTGACAGTTGATGGCTCCTCCTTATGATATTGGTATAATACGAACGGACAGCCAGATCCCTAACACTTGACTTTCTTGTTAAGATGTTATAATTTAAGTGATACGACTGATCTAGCCTATTCCTCCTCCGAGTAAAAGATATAACACAACACTTACCCTCGTTAAGATTCATATTATTGGATTGGTAACACTCTGTAATAATCTTATGATCATTTTGAAGTGTTATATACTGACTCCAGTCGATAACATTTGTAAATATCTTAAGATCATCAGCGTATAGAATTGCCGGACAAGATAAACGACAGACAAGATAATCTATAAAAACTACAAACAATAGAGGTCCTAGGTGAGATCCCCGGGGAACGACTGAAAATACTGAGATAGGAGATGAGGAGTAGCAGTTCGCAACTTGAGAGTAACAAGTTGCGAACGGTTGCTTAAATATGTATATATTGACGTTAATAAACTCCCATGTGTACCGTAGTGGGTGGGTTTGAGACATAATAAGGAGTGATCAACCTTGTCAAAGGGTTTGCTAAGTATGGAGAGAAAAATTGAAAGTATTTTAGTTAGAACTTGCAAATTTGCATTTGTCAATGGAGGGTGCTCTACAAAATCACATGTTATAATTTTTACCATCGCTACCTACTGCACAACTTTGAATGTATATTCAAATCCAACATTTCACATTATGAAATGCAATGTAGTGACATTTTTATACAATGGATTGTGTACATCGTTTGAAATTTCAATCAGTCAACTACAACTTTTAGGCAATTTATAAATGGATAAACACTACATAGGTAATTTTTATTTACGAGTAAGTTACTGTGTGTAGATCTTTTTAATAAATCCATGTTGGTTACCAGATATAAAT